GCGCGGGCCCGGCCGGGTGGCGGCGGCGGGGCCTGGCCCGGGCGAAGATGGTGCTGGTGAGCGCGATCGTGCTGCTCTGCTCCTGGGCGGCGGGTGCCGGAGGTGAGAAGCCGCGCGCGGGAGGGTGGGGCCGGGCCCGCTGCTCCCCTGCGCGGCCTGGGAGCCCGGGGCCTCCCCCCTGTGCCGCTTGTGCCCCTGCCTCCTCCCGCCGTGCTGGGCTGGGGCCGGCCTCGCCTCGCCGGAACGCAGCCTGTTCCCTCTCCCCCCGGACGCTCCTTGCCTGGCGGCCTTCCGCCCCGTACTCCGGGCAGGGGCGGGTTTGTTGGGCGATGGCGGCCCCTCGGGGCTCAGCCTCTGGCCGTGGACGCGGGCGGGCTGCGCCAGGCCATTGTGCTGCGGCGTCCGGGGAGGGGGCGCCGGGCTGTGCCACGGGCCGCCGCTTCCCTGCCTGGCTGTTTCCCGCCGCGGGGGCTGCAGAGAACCAGGAAGTGTTGGTTTTCTTCCTTCAAAGAGCTGAAGTTGCCTTTTGTGCCGGGGAAGCGGGACCGTCTGTCCTGGAGCCGTGCCGCGGCCCCGCGCTGCCCTGTGCCGCCTGCCGGAGGGGGGGGGAGCAGTGCCCTGCTGGGGGGAGCCGGTAGGATAAGGTCCTGCCCGCCTGCAGCACTTGGGTCCTGTCTACCTAGCCCTTGGAAAATGCTTTCCATTTTCCCCTGAAGAGAGTTTGATTGTTTTCTTTTAATTTGGTTTCCTGGTGGGGTGAGGTCAGGGCTTGGGAGGTGGATGGGTGGAGTTGCTGATAAGACACTTCCTCTTTCTCCTCTGGCACTTCTGAGCTCTGCAGCTGTAGCTTTCTGTCTTGGCAGCATTAGGCCAAAAACCCATGTTTTGCACTGGTTGTAGCAGAATAATGGTGAAGTGTGAGAACTTTGATGCAATCTGTAGGCGAAGCCAGGAAGTTCGTTTATAAGTTGACTAAATGGAAAGTAAACTGGCATCGTGTGGCCCAAATATAGACCATATCCAGTGCTTTTATTTGGGCCAGAATAGTAACAACCGGACAGCTTTCATATTGAGGTTGTGTGTATGCAAATCTCAAGCTTTAATACCAGTCTAAAAACATTCTGAAATATTGCTCAAGGCTTTAGTAACCTTTTTTTTTTTTTACTGCAAAAATAATAACAACTGAGAACAAAAAAACAGTTTCTGCTCCAGTTGCAACAATGGTGCCTCCCTGTGTAATGACCTTAAATGTGAGGTATTCCAGATTTCTTGAATCAAAAGGTTTCTCTTGTTCTCCTAAATCACTTAAGCTTTTCAAAAAGATTTTGAAAATCCCGCTGTTAGTGTGTCTCAAAAATACTGACCTGTTTGTACAAAGTGTTTGCTAACTTCACTAATATGGTGAAAAGTTTAGATTTTACTTGTTGTTTAGGCAGCATCTCTTCCAAGAGTGTAAAGTCTTTACTATTTAAGCAATATTAAAGTGTTAAGTAAAATAAAGTAGTAAATAAAACTAATCTGAAGTATTAAAGACTTTATCTTTTGTGGAGAAGATTGCAGTAAAAATCCCATTTTAGCTTCAGATGCATTAAAGGTCTAAGGCTGTTGACATGTGTGTTAACATACTTGCATAACTGTTTATTGGAACAGGTCTTTAATTCTCAATATGGCAGGTTTTTTACCTGGTTTTTCCTTTAACAGTTTTTCTAAAATTCTTATATATCCTATTAGTAATAGAGCTACAGTTGTTATTTCAAATGTAATTATACATTATAGTGAAAAAGTTGCAGAAGCATGAAGTGTAAAGATTTTCATAGTATCAATGTGTGTTAAATGAACTGCCAGTGTGGGGTGGGAAATCAAGTATTTCAAATTGTTCATAGTTACTTGACATGTACATTATTTAGAAAAGCATTTAGAATGGACATGTGTTAAATATCCAGTGACAGCAATTTTTGTTTGGGTTTCCTTATTGTGTTATTACACTAGTAAAGTGGTGTAGGGCAAAATTAATTATTGAATTATTCTTATGATTCTTTGACATCACATTCTTCAGTTGTTCATAGGAAGATAAGCATATGAAAGATTAGGGCCTAAAAATTAAAATCGTGCCACTTTACTTAGCCGAGTGATGCGAATTACAGTTTATAATGAATCCAAGTAAATACAATATTTAGAGAACATGTTCCAGGTATTCGGTTACAAGATTTGAATAATTAATAAGGACTTCCACTTCTTATAATTGAGAGAAATGGGAATACTTTGGATTTTTTTTAAAGGAGAAGCAAACTTGTCAGATTCTGGTGTATAGAGTTTATTTTAAAGCTTCTCTCACTCTCTCTCTCATGTTACAGTTTGAACAAAGTTTGGAAATTAGTTCTTTACATTAAGAGTTAGTATAAATATGTTTCAAAAAGTTGAGTTGATTCTCAAGTTTTATTTTTTCTGTGAAGTACTTGGCTCAGGGAGCCGTTTGGTTACTTGCACTCATGCATTTGCATTGCATGTAAAGTAAGTAGTGCTGAGGTGATGTTTTGGTTGAGGGGTGCTCTTTGTACCCATCTTGGGGCCAGGCATCTGGAACCTATGCTAGGACTGGCTTTTCTCAGCCTCCTGCTGGGGTATGGGTACAGTTTGCAGCCAGAGGGGAGCTACACTGGGGCAGGGCAGCTGGGGCCCATGTTGATGCTGCTGCTTCTCAACCTCCCACTCTCGAGCTGCGCAGACATGGCTTCCAGACAGTGGGGAGCTGTACCAGGGCCAGGCTGCTGGAAGCTGTGTTGGCATTGCTGCCCCTTCACCCTGTGTGTCCTCACTCCCACTTCCACTTCCTTGGTGTAGTATGGGTGCATCTGGTAGCTGCTCAGCCCCAGCTCCGTTCCCCACCTGGCTGGAAGCTGCACCATGCTGTAGCTTGGGAGTAGGGGACAGAGAGAAGCAGCAGTGATGCAGGCACAGCATCCAGCTCCCTGGCCCTAGGAGAGTTGTGTTCTAGATCAGTGGTCTCCGAACTTTTTTGATCACGCACCCCTATCAGTAAAAAATTTTTGAGCATGCACCCCCAATATATGTATATTTATATAAATATAAACAGAAGGTATAATATTTTCTTCCTGCACCCCAATGGATTGTCTTACGCACCCCACTTTGGAGACCGCAGCTCTAGATACAGCAGCTCCTCAGGCCAGAACATGGGCCTCATGTTGCCAACCTCTGGCCTATGTAAATGGGACCTTGGTTAACCTAGCTTGGGCATGAGCCACTGTTTAACTCTGTAATCAAGTTATTGTATTCTTTTTGGTGTTGTGCACTTCTGCGTGTGTTGCTTGGACTGCTGTGGGCATGTTTTGTAGCTTTTTGTGCTGCTGTAGACTTAGCCACTTCATGATTCTTTCCCACCGAATTGACAGAAAACTTGTCTTGGGCTTATGCAGGGAAATTTGGGGAGAGAGTGGAGTGCTAACAGCATTCAAGTAATGTAGCTGATGCTCTGAGTTCAGAGTAAGTGAATAGCCACCCCTAGTTAAAGTGGCACCCAAGATCTAAGCTATACCCCCAACCAGGGGTTAAAACAAACTTTGGAGTTTGAGATGGGGGTAAGGGTGAGGAGGAGCAAGAAGCAACATTTAAGAGCCGGAGTTAACTCTTCAATGAAGAATATACCCTATGAGGTTCATGGTGGAAAGAGTTGGGCAAGGCTCTTTGGGTAGATGAGACATCTTTTATTAGACCAACTGAGTAGCTGGAAAAAAGATATCACATCTACCCAAAGAACCTTGCCTGCCTTCGTCCTTAGACCAACATGGCTATAACCAAAAGCCCAACAACATGGTGGAAAGAGTGGTTTCTAAATCTGTAGCTGGACCAGAAACCTTAGAGAAGGATCCTGTGTGAAAATCTATAATTGTAGTACTGCCATACTTAGCTTTATTTTATCATCTTAATGATAAGGAACACTGACCATTTAAAATCTTTCAACTTTTTTAAGTTCAGTAAGTTCAGTGATATCTTCATACTACTTTGCTATTTTTGTAGGTTTAAACCGCATTCTTTTAAGCTTTCTTTTTCTTTTATTTTTTTTCTTTTCTATGAAAGACTACACAAACAAGGGAATCTTTTTTCTAGGGAGAAAAAGAGGAGGGAAAAACTTGGTATTTATTCTTCAACTATTAATGATTTTGTTTAAAAAAAAAAAAGAAAAAAAGAAAAAGTTGAAAAAGAGAGGGAGAAGTTGAAGGTGTCCCATGTAAAATTGATGATCAGTCCTAGATGGTGGTGAGAAACATTTTCTTCATATATTTCCTAATTCTGTCAGTACAGTGACACATCCCACCTTACTACATGACTTCCAGCATTTAAAACGGAAAGGTGATTTCTCTAAAAGGTGTGTTCTATTTTTCAGAACTCTTTTTAACAGTAAGTGTAAAGAAATTGCAAACAGTCTTTTGAAAACTTCACTTTAAATCCCAGTGTCGGATTCAAATATTAAACTTTAAAATAGTACCTGTTTTTCACAAAGATTTACGTATTCCTTAGTGTGAAGGAACATTATCAACTTGAAACGTAGTCATTTGCAAATGTCAGTGGTAGCTACAGGTATTAAATCTGTCTCTGTATCCCTGTGATAGTTCTGGGGAATTTAAATCCTGTTTATTATTTGTATTCCTGTTGCCGTAGGAATAGCCTACAAACAGTGGAACTATTTACTGATGCACTGAATATGAGCAGTGAAACTTCTCTTTAATCTGCTAGAATAATCTGATTGTTGTAACACTAGTAAGTAGAAAGAAATTTCCTTCCTAAAGTGTTTAAGGAGTGTTCTCTTAAGAGTTTTCTTATCTTTACTACTAAAGATGGATAGCAGCAACATAGTCTTTGATACTGAATTGTTTCCTTAGTCTTGACAGAAGTACAGTATGGTTACCAGTGCCACGAGTTTATAATACAGACTTGCCAAACTCTTCATTCTCTCACCTTGATGTCTCTTATGTATTTCATCTTGCTTAATGATGAGCAAATAATATATTCTTCGTAACCAAGCTAATATTTTCAAAAGATTATTTTCCAATTTGCTCTAACATACCTCAGTTCAATTTGTGCGA